TGAACGATTATATCACACCCGAAATGAACTATAAAGACGGCACGGCCTGCAAATCGCCGCCAATTGTCACCATTAAAGACATGACAGGTATGTCTTGGAGTGGAGAGAAGGATGACATCAGTCTCTACGGAACCCCCAAAGAAGAAATGCTTCCCGGAATGTCTGAAACGAAAGTTCCCTCATTTATGAGAAGTCAAATACAAGCTCTCTTTCAACCCTCGGGTTAGAATATATTTTGCATTTTATACTTTCGATACATTTTACAACAAAAAATTAAGTCAATTTTGATATGAAATTATGTGAAATATAACATTAAAATTATATTATATTTGTTAACAGATAACAAACTGGCGATGAAATTATTTGGCAGTAAAAAAGCACTTATGAATGAGAGAGAACGGCAAAAGGAATCGGGACTATTAATAATACACCCGTGCAGTACATTTAGGTATTTTTACATTCAATTTAAATTTTATATTTGTTTCCACTTCTCTCTTATCCCTCGAGTCTCAGCCATGATATTCAAAACAGCATTCAATACATCATCTAATACTATACGATGTGTAGTATATTATGTTTACATACTTAATGAGATTTAGTGAATTCAATATTATGGCTACCATTTCATTTAATACGACCATTCTCTCTCTCTCTCTCTCTCTCTCTCTCTCTCTCTCTCTTCTATTTCATTCAACTATATTAATCTATACAATAGCATCTATAGTATAGTGTCTACAATATTGTAAAAATATTTTGAAAATGAATTTATCTAAAGTTAGATAAATGCAATCCTTTACTCAAATTTTACTCAAAACTTAATTTAAATAATTAATAAATTTATATTTCAAAAAGAGATCATTTGTATGCATCAAATTAAGAATTGTAGTTTTTAATAATTTAATATTAATATTTAAGACTATTATAATATTTTTATTAATGCAAAATTTACTGATATATAAATAGATAATATAAAGATAATTAATATTTAATGATATTTTCACTGAACTTTTCTATTCACATATTTTCGGTATTATTTTCTATATTAGAGATTAATATTAACATTTCAGAGCAAACGATATTTATTTTCTCTATAAAAAAAACTTATGCTATTTAGTAATTAATTAATAATAGCATTCATTCTGTTATGTAATATAGTTATATCCGATTGAATATTGACAATAAATATATAATATGCATAGAATTGCAAATAGTGTTAATTTACATAAACTGTATGTTTGGACACAATAGGTTTTATTGGGATTTATGTATGTTATTACTACTTGTGGCGAATCTAATCGTACTTCCAGTGGCCATATCCTTCTTCAACGACGATCTGTCCACGCGTTGGATTGCATTCAACTGTCTGTCGGACACAGTCTTCTTGTTAGACATTGCGGTCAATTTCAGAACCGGTAAACGGATTGACACATTGATTAACACATTGAAAACGTGCATTCATTTGGATATAACCACATTGTTTATCAGGTATAATGAACCCGGAACTGCCCGAACAGGTGATATTAGACCCGAAGCAGATCGCCAGGTGCTACATGAGGTCGTGGTTCTTCTTGGATCTGATCAGTTCTATTCCATTGGACTATATATTCCTGATCTTTAATCAAGACATTAGTGACAATTTTCAGATATTACACGCGGGACGCGCTCTCAGGATATTAAGGTTCGCCAAAATGTTGAGTTTGTTGCGACTCTTGAGACTCTCACGACTCCTCCGATACGTCAGTCAATGGGAAGAAGTTTATGTGAGTATTGGCTTATTCTTCACTCATTTAGATATAATTAGAATTTTGTTACGGAATTTACACAGAATTTGGAGTCAAATTTTTTGAAATGTTTTAAAATCATTATAAATAATAAGTGAATGCATTTATGTTTGCTTTTAAAGACATACATATGTTTCGGACGAACAATAATAACAGAATTTATATATTTAATGTTTTTTACATTTATAACGTTTGTCTAGTTTCTAAATATTTCTTTAAATTTGAATTTAATTTTCATATTTCAAGAATTCATTAAAAAACGTAGAATTGAAAAAAGTACATTTCGTTTGCTACATAAATAAAATGATAAATTTAGCAAATTTTCCGTATTTTGAGTTTAGTTTTTAAAATCCTTATTTGAAAGCAGATAAGCATTTATGCCATTAGAATATAACCTCTTTTTCTCCGTTTATTCCTTCCATAACTCTATGTTCTATGAAATTGTTATTTGTATTCATTTTGAGATAAATTTGAGATTTTTTGACAAATATATTGAATATTTCATAAAATTGTCAAATTTATAAAAGAAATTTATTTCATTTAAATATATAAAAATTCTAGTTTTTAAACATAAACTAAAATGCTTTTAAAATATATTCTGATATCAGATTCACATATAAAATATGGTAATAAATAGAGTTTACTCTATTAAGTAAAGGATAAATATTAAAATACTCTAAACTACAACTCAATTACATCGAGAATTCTATAAAACATATAAATATAAACAAATTATTTTTTATTTATATTTTCCAAATAAAATACTATGCCATATCTACTGATGTACATTAAAATTTAATTAACTATTAATATAACATGAATAGCATGTATGAATTAAATATAGATTTTTTGATATGGTTAAAAATTAAGTCTAAATATACAAATCTTTAATATAATATCACAATAATATAAGAATTTAATTAAATATAATATTTATCTAATTAAAGAATACTTCAATATTTCATAAGCATCTAATGTTGAGACAAAATATTGCTTTTAAAACTTGATGTTAATATAAATGCATGCATAATAAGTGTCTTAATTGTATTATTATTTGTTATATGTTATATGCAAATGAATTGTATGTCAAAAATTGTTTTAAAGCTTAAAATTCAATGAAAGAATTTATTATAAGAATTAATTGATGATAAGATGAGTCCTGCATTTCTAGCTTAATGTGCTAACACTAATGTGCATGTGATGAATGGCTTCGCTTTTAAATATTTAATTATTGCTTTATTTGATGTATATTTTAATCTCCTATTGTTGTTGAAAATGTCACCACAAAAATGCAAACTTTATCTCAATCTCTATATCTATCTGTAATAACGTGTATATTATTGTGAATTTGATGTCATTTCTTACACCTTATGCCCACAATTTACCACTCATTGAGTTAATGATATGTACCATCAATGTAATGATACCTTAGATGTTTTGTGGTAAGTAATGTTGGTTATTGTCAATACTGGTGTGTCGGTGCCTATTGTGTCATATCCTGCAAAAGTCATACCTATATATACTGTATATTTGTTGCATGACTTCAATTCGTGACTTTAAATCGTTTGACAATCACTGTTGAAATATTGACTTTTTTAATGTTATTTTTAATTCACTTTTAAATTATTGTGATATTAAAATGGTATTGATCTTTATATGAATTACCAAATAACCAAGCTTATAAACTGAACATTAATGTTGTGAAAAAGATAAAATTCTACTTAATCTAATCTTGATCATTATTCTAAAATTGAATATAACGGTTAGTAACCAAGGTTGAAAACATTTAATATGAAAACTAAATGATGCTAAAATTGTGAATTTTAAATAATGGTATTTTGTTGTCTACAAATATGTTTATACTTTATGTTAATATTTCAAATCAATTGATTGTTTCGATCGAATTGAACACTAAATTTACTAAATGTGCTCAACATTACAGTCAATACACTGTTTGATGGGTTTTGATAAATACATAAAATCGATATTAAGGTAACGCAAAAAGCACTGCAAAGGCCGGGAAGTGGACACAATATGCTCTTTCTTATGACACCCCAGTATTCGTCAATTCGTAGTCATAAATATAAGTGAAAGAGAAATACAAACAATTTTGAATTAATTAAATTCATTGATTAGCAGTGATTAACGGCAAGCAATTGTGTCTTCTGTCTCGTCTAAAACAGATGCACAGTTTGGCCTCAATATCGAAACAGAAAGGATTTATTGGGCTCTTAACTCGCATTCCCGGGGCTAAGAAGGTATTGCTATTTCATCGCATAAACATTTACACTATATTTCAAACAAAACTTATATTTCCTATAATTAACATTTACAATTTATTATGTAAACTTATTTCTAGTCTCTATTTTTAGTCAACTTTGACTTTAAAACAGTGTTTTCGTATGAATTTTGTTTTTCGTACAGAATTTATATCGTATTTTAAATTATAATATGATATTTCATTTATTAAACAAGACTTTCTCTGTATTTATTAAACATTAAAAATTAATTCTCTTATTTAGTTCTAATCCTTTAGCGAGACTTTAATTAATTGAAATGGATTTGAAAATTATTTAATACAAAATGAATTATTATATTTTCAATAATTTCAACACTAAAATTCACGATTCGTTGATAAATAACAATATTGTAATTGTCTTTATTTCGACAAACATTTTATCAAACAATTTCAAACTAAAACTTTTATAAATTGTTGTCAAAACCATTATCTTCCGAAAATACATTATAGAGCTCTCAGTTTGAATGATTGGTTTTATAAAAAGCAGTTTTTATCATAAAAACTTTTTTCATCGACGATGTATTGTGTAAACGCTTACCTTATTCTTATATACAGTATACTCTAAACTAGCAATTGTGTTGATTTTGAATTATTGAAACATATTTGACATTTCAGTTGTTTGGAAACCTATATATTATATAAGTTTCTATAAATGTTTAAAATATCTTTTTATTAAATGATAAAAATTCTATTAAAACAAGTTATGAATCTTATTATTTTAATTATACTAAACATTTATAACATTATTCATGTTTATAACACGTATGAATTTTAATAATAAATTTACCATTTTTAAATATTAAATATTATTTATTCTTTAAAATGAATTCAATACAGAATATTGAAATCAATTCACAAATATGTGTCAAAATATTGAATTGAAGAGAAGTGTAAACTTATTCATGAATATCAGTTGTTTTAAAATATTTTATATTAACATCGGATCGATTGGTAAATTCATAACGAATTCTGTCTGTTTGCACATGTTTTGCATTATTCTGATCTCAATCTGCTTTTGTTCACATAAATACAAAAAACGGTGAAAAATATAAATTTGTTTTTCAAATACTTTGTATTTCTTTTTTCATATTTTTGGGTATTTTATTGAACTTATGGACGAATATATGAAAGCATTAACATTTTCGTCATATTTGGCAACTGATCTTATCTCATGAGAGAGATCAGAATAATGCAAAACATGTGCAAACAGACAGAATTCGTTATGAATTTACCAATCGATCCGATGTTAATATAAAATATTTT